ATATATATATATATATATATGTATATATATATATATATATATATATGTATATATATATATATATATATATATGTATATATATATATATATATATATATATATATATATATATTTCAGCGTCATCATTTGTTATAATGGCCACTAATTATTACTCTGTTATATTTGAGATCTGGAAATAATTCTAATAATTTAGATCCGTCAATAATGTCTTCGATAAAAGATATGATTGATGAGTCGAACGTACTTGCTCGGTCATACAGAGTGCACGCGATCGTATTGCTACAGATGGAAATAGAGGTGTAAAATTAAGACTGGTTAAGAGCCGAAGTACTGATGGTCGGACATATAATCTACCAAATGCCAGTGAAATTGCAGCGCTCATTGTTGGCGACTTCGATAACCAGAAGGGTGTAAGGGACATTGTGGTCGAAACGGAGTCTAAGAGGCTTCAGCGCATTAGTGAACTACACCCTCTTTATCTACCGTTACAGTACCCCTTGATTTTTCCTTACGGTGAAGATGGGTATAGAGATGATATTCCTTTGAGAGAGTCTTCATCAAATAGTAGCCGGAAACGAAGATGCGTGAGCATGAGAGAATGGTTTACATATATGATGCAAAAAAGGAATGGAGAGAGTCAAGTATTGTTGAACTCGAAAAAATTATACCAGCAGTTTCAAGTTGATGGCTTTTCAATGATAGAATCTCAACGACTGAATTTCATTAGATTTAATCAGGACAAGCTTAGGGTTGACATGTATAAGGGACTTCAGGAAATGATTGTCAAGGGTGACGGTGAAGGCACGTCTGCTGGAATGCGCATAGTTCTTCCATCGACATTTACAAACGGTCCCAGATTTATGTTTAACAACTTCATGGACGCCCTCCAGATATGCAATTGGATTGGATTTCCATCGCTTTTTATAACAATAACATGCAATCCCAAGTGGCCAGAAATACAAAGGGTGTTGAGAGATACGAATCTGCGTCCCGAAGATCGACTTGATATTCTTTGTCGCGTGTTCAAGATGAAACTGGACAGTCTGATCTCAGATTTCAAAAAAGGGCATATTTTCGGACGGATAAGATCATGTAAGTACCACATTCTCAAATAATTATTTAAAATTTCATATGATATGAATGTATAAAATTATTTTATTTTTATAAAATATATAATTGTTCCTATCAAACTTTATTATTTTTAATATATTATTTCATTTCAATTTGCAGACGTCTGCACCATTGAGTTCCAAAAACGTGGTTTGCCGCATGCGCACATCCTACTTCGGTTGTATAATGACGATAAGCCAAAATGTTCGGAAGATATTGATCGAATAATATGTGCCGAAATACCCGATAAGACTTGCGACAGGAAAATGTATAAGTTGCTAAAAAAGTACATGATCCACGGACCATGCGGACATGCAAACATGAATTCTCCCTGCATGAAGGATGGTATTTGCACCAAGCGCTTTCCAAAGAGATTTGTGCAACGTACTGAGGCTGACGATGAAGGATACCATTCATATAGAAGAAAGGAAGACGGCCGGACAGTAACGAAGAAGAAAAGAATATTGGACAATGGGTATGTCGTTCCTTACAACCGTGCTCTACTGTTGAAATACATAGCTCACATCAACATCGAGCTCTGTAACCAGAACAAATCGATAAAGTATCTTTTCAAATATGTCAACAAGGGCAATGATCGAGTTACAACTGCCTTTTATCAGTCACGTAATACCAATGATGGTGAACAAATACGCGATGAGATAAAGATGTACTACGACTGCAAGTATATTTCCGACTTATGTTGTTACTTATCTTAATGTTCATTCGTGTATATATTCGTTTATTTCCACAATATATTTACTTCAACGTGTATATATTTGATTTTCTTATATATATTTTAAAATATTTTTGCAGGTACTTATCTGCATGCGAGTCCAGTTGGAGGTTGTTTGGGTTTGATATTTTTGCAGGCCAGTTGGAGGTACTTATGTTGTTACTTACCAGTTGGAGGTTGTTTGGGTTTGATATTTTTGCAGGCCAGTTGGAGGTTGTTTGGCCAGAGCAATGGTAAGAGTTTACGTAATTATGCACCTATGCCTGTACCGATACATACATCGCTAGACGACTCAGAGAATAGGTTAATACTAGATGAACTGGATTACGATGTCTCTGAAATGCGTGCCGAACTTCAAAAGTTATTATCGTCTATAACACCTGACCAGAAAAAATTTTACGACACGATCATGAATGCAGTGTCGGAGAACAGTGGAGGTATGTTTTTTCTGTACGGCCATGGGGGCACCGGGAAGACATTTATTTGGAACACACTTTCCGCCGCTGTTCGTTCTGATAAGGGCATTGTCATTAATGTTGCCTCGAGCGGTATTGCTTCATTGCTCCTTCCGGGTGGTAGAACAGCACATTCTAGATTTGGACTCCCGATAATTGTGCATGAGAGCTCCACTTGCAGCATCAAACAACAAAGTCCTCAAGCAGAGCTGTTGATTGAAGCAAAACTTATTATATGGGATGAGGCCCCGATGATGCATAGGTTTGTTTTGAAGCATTAGACAGAACCATGCGATCGATTTTGAATTCTGAAAAACCTTTTGGTGGTAAGGTTATCGTACTTGGTGGTGACTTTAGACAGATATTACCTGTTGTACTTAAAGCATCGAGGCAAGACATCGTACATGCTACGATCAATTCATCGTGTCATGAGGTTGCATAAAAATATGAGGCTTCAGTTGAATGCATCTTCATCTAATGAAGATGAAATAAGGGAATTTGCAGAATGGATTCTGAGAATTGGAAACGGAGAAGCTGGAGACTACAATATCGTGCTCCAGTCTGCCGCCGCATGAGCTAAAATTAAAGAAAGGAGTTCCCGTCATGCTCATTAGGAATATCGATCAAGCAAGAGGTTTGTGCAATGGAACTCGTCTCCAAGTTGAAAGACTGGGGATGCATGTAATTAGTTGCAAAGTATTATCCGGTAAGAATGTTGGCGACATGGTATTTATTCCTCGGATGACTTTGATACCTTCAAATTCCACATTGCTAGTTAAATTTCAAAGACGTCAATATCAGGTGATTATATCATTTGCCATGACAATCAACAAAAGTCAAGGGCAAACTCTCTCGCACGTTGGATTGTATCTTCCAAGGCCTGTTTTCAGTCACGGTCAATTGTACGTAGCGTTGTCTCGGGTGAAGAGTAGATCTGGAATAAAGATTTTAATCAAGGGCGAATCCGGTGAGTTATCCAGTGTTACTAGCACCGTCGTGTACAAGGAAGTATTCAAATATAAAGGGTACCACGTTGGCAAACACCATAATATTAGTTTATTTATGT